AAACCTGTTTTTATATGTTTTAAAGTCGTGCAATGTCTAAGTTAAGCAGGAACACATCATTATATCTCATTTTTTATTTATTTTTTAAAAAAATTAAAAATCGTTTGCCCAGCCTAATAGTAGTAGGGTGCAAAAATACATTTTGATGAGCCTGTAAACTAGCGGCTAGTTTGGAAGCTCTATTAGCCCGCTCCTCGCATAGCTGCTAGCATATTTAGCATGTTTGGTAGAAAAATGCCAACTGAGATTGTATTCTTTGAATACTGCGACACTTTCCTTATAAATTAAACATAGTTTTTTTTCCAACCTCTGAGAAAAAAGTATTTTGCAGCTTATTCTTTGTTGAACACTCTGCATTCACTGTCAACATTCTGCTTCTTCAATCCACTCATTTTGGCGCAGGTTCCCTCACAGTACGATGGACCCACTCTGACTGGTGAATCAAATTGGTAAAGCAGGGATTCCCAAACATTTTTGGGTCTATGCATCCCTTGACATGTCAAATTTCCACATATCTCCCCTGTGTCAAAAATAAGTTCTATGGCAGTGCGATATTTTACAAAAGATTATAAATTGGAAAAGTAAAACAAAGTTGATCCAAATTGTATTATTTTTAATCATTTTCAAAACCAATAGGCTTAATATGAAAGTAGTAAAAATACTTAACAACACATTTTATTTAAATTATTTAAATGTGCACACTAAAAAAAATAAAAATAGTCAACATCTTTGTAAAATGCAAATAAAATGACTTAGAAAATGTAAAAACTTAACTTCAATTGTTTTTTTTAAATGGGGAGAAATACAATGTCTTTTTGTTTGTGCCTTTTAATGTGTAGATGGGCTTGTTTAATAAATTATGTTAAGATAATTCACCAAAAATACTGGGTAGTACTTTTGAAATGGCAACGTGCATCTCCTTCTCAACATTGACTCTTGATCTGAATTTGAATTTGATAGCCGCAAGTGCTGAAACCAGCTTCACAAAGGCAGGACATTACAAAGAAGAAGAAGAAGAATTCACAGAGCCCTGTTCCTTATTCCTTGGTACTCCAACGGTGTAAGGTTTTTTGCATTGTGCTATTCGGTACGCAACTTGGTATGATGAAAAAATAAATTTGCTGGGGACTGTAGTTTGGTTAGAAAAAGCAGCTTTGCTTTGCATGAAAGTTGCACGGAAAATACTCACTAGGCTTACTTATCAAACTACCGTGAACAGTTTCCAAATGACATTTCAATTTATTGGGGACCATGCTCTCAGCAGCAAACACTTTAAGGTAGACAACACAGTGAGGACATTCTTCAGTGTCCACAATTGTGCATGTGAAACCAAAATTCAAGAAACTGTCATCATACTTTCTGTATTTGCATTTCCGTTTCATTTCCTTCACCTTTTTTACTCATATTTAAAAACCTCTCAATTTCGATCATGTAACAAAAAACTCACAGAATGACCACTCATAGAAACATGAAACACCGAAGCTGCGGTCAACTGGTATGCTGCTTACAGACTGCCGACTCTTGTGGCCAGTGTCATGTGACACAATCTACATCGGTAATGCACGACGAGTACATTCTGTGTGCACAAACAGTGGGTTTTGCTCATAATAAAAATGTTTTTTGAATAGCAATACCTGACATGCCCCTGATGAACAATTGAGCCTCCCCAAGGTGGCGCGATGCACAGTTTGGAATCACCGTGGTAAAACATTTGTGTGGCATCTAACGGCACGAATAATGAAAAGTAAGAAAAAATAGCACCAAACAAAGTGTAATATGGTGAATATTGACTAATTTATTTTTTACTTCAAGAGCCGGGTTAAAACTGGCTGGCGGGCCGGATGCGGCCTGCTGGCCATAGTTTGCCCACAGATGCTTTAGACACTAAGAAATAGACATAATGTACCTTATTGATGACAACAAAGATGGTGTAGAAGAACATCAGGTGATGTCTGGCCAGTGGAAAATACTGACTCTCTTGCAGAGTGAAGAGCACAGCTCCAATCAGAGTGACTTTGGTTGGACTGCAAAACAAAGATTAAATTATATCACAGAACATAATCAATTTTTGCGTGAATTCAATAGCAGAAGTACAGCATTGGAAGACTTTTAGATACAGTATATTGTATTTTTTCTGTAACATGATTAACTTTTACAGTTTACTGTGGAGTATGTAGATTACCCTTCCTCACAGTGGTTTTTAAGACTTGGTCCTTAGAAAAAGGAACTTTCTTTATCAAAAGGTTTTACACGTTTAAAACGCATTCAAAGGTCTATTGTATCTCATCCAGCCATTTTAGTCTGTGTGTATCATTTCTTTGAACCTAGGTGTGTATCTTCTAATACCTAGGTGTGTAACATTCTGTTAGTCATTTTCCTGTTTTTCCAAATGTGTCAGTAAGATGAAAATTATTTGATTACATCAGTTCTTCAAACACAGCATTTCACCTTTTATATTTAGGTTTTATTTTCCTTTTTATCTGCATCAACATTAAATATCATCTGCCCAATGCTGAATATTTTTTACAGTTTTGCAATCCTACTTTGTTATCACACTTGTTGTTTGTATCTTTTAACTAGTTCTTAATCTAAGTACATATTAACCATTTTTCATGGCTGGGAACTATTGTACGTTTCAGTTTTTCAGTCAATAGTATTACCCCATCTCCAGAGAAAGCTTGAATGTTTAAAGCTTTTGTTAATAGCTTCTCTTGTTTCTTTAAGTAAAACTGTAAAAATAATATTGGGCCCCGAAAATCTATCTTAAATAATTCTAGTACCTGTAATAAATAAATACTTATGGGATAAATCTTGGTAAATCCTGAAAAGTGCAGCACTCACATGCTTTATGAAATGTTGAGACTCTGCGTACAGGTCTAACGTTAGGCTGAAAACTATAAATCAAATCATGGAGTGTAGGCAACAAGTCGAGATTATATGAGTGGAAAGAAAAAGAAGAAGGCAAAAGGAGACATCCTTTTGAAGGAGAATCAATCACTGCCATCAATATTTTCGATAAGACAACAAGATGGCGGAGGGTGAGGGCAACGAAGTGAACATCACCTCTGGTGACACCAGAGATTAGCTAGATTCATAATTAGAGCAAATATATATAAACAAAACAAAATATATATTCACGGTGGAGCTGTGGTTAGCATTGCTGCCTTGCAGCGCTGGGATCCTGGGCTCAGTTCCAGATTTAGGGTGCTTCTGCATGGAGTTTGTATCTTCCCCACATATTTGAGTGCATTTTCTCTAGTTGGGCACGTTTCCTCTAGTTTTCCTCCCACAATCTAAAAACAAACTGGTAGGTTATTTGGCTTCTGGGAAAATTGGTCCTGGTGTGAGAGTGTGTGTGTCTGTGTCTGTTTTCCACCCATCAAGGCTGTACCCTGCTCCTGTTTTGTTTCTGTTGCTTGCTGAAATAGTATTGGATAAAGCAGTTAGAAAATGGATTCATGGACAGAAGTGTACTTATTGTCAAAGTACAGAGGAATGCTCCTTTACAGTGTATAGCTAGGTATTTTCAGGTATAATTTCATTTCTGTCTTTCAATGTCTTATATGTTCTTTGGGTTAACCAAAAAGATGCTAAAATAGGCAGGAGGCTGTATTTGAATAAATGGACACATTATGTCTGCAATTCAAATCCAGTGTATATTGGAAAGAGCTGGAACAGGATGTGCAAAGTAAAAATTGTAAGAGAAATGTATATACTGTTAGTTACATTTGTTGCATGGAGTTCTTTTTATCAGAATAATTATCACCAGACATATACAGTAAATTGAACCTGCACCTGAAGTTTATCTAATAATAATTATAATAATTGCTTACACTTATATAGCGCTTTTCTGGACAGTCCACTCAAAGTGCTTTACAGATAAAGATAACGGGGACTCCCCTCCACCACCACCAATGTGCAGCATCCACCTGGATGATGTGATGGCAGCCTTAGTGCGCCAGAACACTCACCACACATCAGCTATCAGTGGGGAGGAGAGCAGAGTACTGAAGCCAATTCATAGATAGAGATTATTAGGAGGCCATGATTGGTAAGGGCCAATGGGAAATTTGGCCAGGACGCCGGGGTTACACCCCTACTCTTTTTTGAGAAACGCCCTAGGATTTTTAATGACCATAGAGAGTCAGGACCTAGGTTTACATCTCATCCGAAGGACGGTGCCTGTTTAGAGTATAGTGTCCCTGTCACTATACTGGGGCATTAAGACCCACATGGACCACAGTGTGAGCACCCCCTGCTGGCCCCACTAACACCTCTTCTAGGTAGACTATCTCATTTAACTTTATTGTATTGAAAATAACACACTGTACATCTTTCTCCAGATATTTCATTAAACAATTCTACCAAATTAAAGATTTCACCAGAATTTTTACAAACAGTACAAAAATCAGAGCTTCTAATTATAGTACAGAATAGCATGTTGATTTAGTCCCAAAAATACTTACTACGACATCTTTAAGAGCTCATTGGTTTCTGGCTTCCAGACTCCTCTGACAAGCTGCTCGAAGTTACTCATCAGCCCTCCCCCAGCTCCTTCAAAAGACATAAAAGGGTAATAACATTGACATAGTATGTAATAACATAGTATGAGGCTTTCCCCCACTAGTTGCAGAAAGTCTTAATCCAAGTACAAATGTGACAATTTTAATTGGGAAAAAATAGAACCAAAATGAAACTGGAATAATATATCCTAAAAATTGTTATTTTTTCAGTAGAATGACGTTCAGCTATGATCTCTCTCTTAGCTCTATTACCCTGTTGATCCAGATGCATGGGAGTAGGGTCATCACAGTGTAAAGATCTACTGATTACAGCACAGCAAATGCAATATGCCCTCAGACAGAGTCATGTACATGTTGCTGATGTGACACCATGTGTCATAGATCATTTGTTAATGTAGGAAACAATGTGATGATGGAAGTTGTACATTAAGAATACCTACGTCTAGGTAACACCAATTGTAGGCACGAATGTTTAAAAACTTATTTGATGGAAATGATTGATAGTTTTTATTGTCTTTTTGTGTAACTTATTCATATTTTTTAGGTTAGAATTTTATTTCTTAACTGTACATTGATGAGAAAAAAATCAGCCTTATTTGGCCTGTGGGGGCTATAATGATGAGCTCTGTACAGTCAAGAGTACCCATTATACTAGGAAATACTAATATTTATATTATATATAAAATGTAAACTGCTATTTCATGAAATCCCTGTTTAATGGTATTTACTAATGTATGGCAGAGAAACACTATAAATGCATGCAAATACTGATTTAGTGCAAACACCACTTTCCTTACTGCATGACACACTGTCGTTTTACTGAAGTGCTCAGAGTCACAAGCACAGTAAAAAACTGCACCAGTCACAAGGATTCTCAGCCCTATGAACAAAGTTTTTTTCTTTTAACGCAGAGCTATGATGAGTAGTATTAACAATATTTGGGCTAAAGAGATAGGGTATACTTTACCTTTACCATCTGCTGAATAAAAATTATCACTGAACTGTAAAAGGCTTTGATAACCTCTAAGCTTTCATTCTCTCTGCAACTGGGTCCCTGAAGAAATGTGACCTAATTGTTTTTAGGTCTGTAAGTCGAATCAAAGTCAGGCTAAATTTGACTTAACCTGCCCCGGTGCAATTTAAAAATAGAGGATATGTTCTATAGTTTCTTAACCAGAAAAAATTCAATCTTGCTTCATGAAACTGAAAATCCAAACTTTCTGTATGTCGAAATGTTTTCTAATGTTATCCTCATGGTCTAATAAAAATTCCAGTTTTTCACTGCACATGTTAACCGTTCCTTCCTACAACACGAGTCTGAAAAAGACCTTCAGAGACCCATACAGTACATCTTTCGTCTCACACCCTGGTCCTGGTCTAGTCTTATAGACTTATAGGTCACCGTATTCCCAAAATGATCTGATTTTTAACAAGTGTAACCAATCTTTAGTTTAAAAAAAAATAGTTGAGTAATTTGTTTACCCATTCAATCTAATACATTCCTCTTATACGTAATCAGTCAATCAGTTTGATTGAATCCAATATCACTATCATAATAAATGTATACACTATTGCCTGTGATTTAGATTGTGGATACTAATGGAAAATAAAATTTGACATATGCCTATAATGTGGTTCCAAACAATTTATATGGATTTTTCCATATATTATAGTTATAAGATAATGGTATGTTTTTGATTCTATTTACAACTATTTGAAACTGATATTAAATGATTCAGAAGTAATTTATTTGTTAATTTTATTTACACATTTTGGAATAGATTTAAATAATTCTACCAAATTAAAATTTCATTCAGTAAGTTATTTAAATTAAACCCAAGGAAAAAAGTAATAATTTATCTTATAATGCTGTTGTTTACACTTCAATAATATAGATGAGTGCTGAAAACATTTGTATTGACAAAGAGGTAAAAGTTGCCTAATAAGATATTTTGATTTTGCCTGTAGCTGTAAGCATCTATCTTTATGACAGATGATTAATCCGCACCTTATGGCCAATGGAGCATTGTGACTTCCCACAACTTCCCCATTTCACATGGAAAAGTGCAAACTGTCAGTATTTTGAACATCAAAATGTGACAAACCTGCTGTATAATTTTACCATTTGTTTTTTATATAACCACAGTAAAAAGAGAAAATATATTATTTTAAACTTGTTTAATTTTTTCTCTATCAATTTTAACTTTGTTTACCTAATTCACCAAAACAAGACCCACAGAAAGCCCTGGGAGAGATGAGAAAAAAATACTAATATCCTCTGAGACATGCGCCATGAGAGATCCACTTGTTCAGCACTGCGGAGCCCAGTATGTGAACAGCTGGTCTTCAAATGAAAGCTTTAAAAACATCTCTAACTAACAGCACAGACTCCCACAGGCAGCAGGATAATCACAATGACCTTGACCCTTAGTTTCACAGACAATGAAAACTGGATAAAACCTTTATGTTCTGTAAGGGGTTTGTAAAACAGTGCCATCATTTTTGTGTTTTGTGCTTTTTAACATATGCTTTAGGCTGTGTACAATATAAATATAAATATAAATATAAATATAAACAATATACAATATGCAATATAAATCCCTCACTCTCTTATAGTGACATACATAAAGTGAGATACACTGAACTGAGGCTGTGCTTTATGTGTCTATATTCAAGTGTGCAATGGTATGACATGCCGATAACCAAAGGGACTGTAATAACACAGCTCCATAAAGCCTTTGCCATTAAATAGGCACATTGGGTGTCTATTATTTAATAATGCAATATTTAATGAAAGGTTTACAAGCCACATTCACACATGGGTGTCAATTAGTGTTGTGTAAGTATATAAAGTAGTTCAAAGTGTTAGTCTAGGTTGGGAGTTATGATGTAGTCATGGGAGACTGCTACTGTATACTGTATGTGCTCATTTCCCTGGAGCTACCTTGTATAAAGATGGGGGGTCTGTTACAAAGTTATGCATACTTGTAACACATTGCCCCTTTTACCGGTATTGCTGTAGGAAATCTGCATATAAACTGTCCCTGATATAGAGGAGCCTGGACAGAAAATAGCAAACATCAATATATTGTAGCCTTCCCACCTGTAACACTGCTCTGTAGAGGTGTAAAGGATCCGATGCAGATGCAGGAGTCGCAGGGAGGTAAGTAAACGTACCGAGCAAATCCAGGAGCTGAGTCGTAGTCCGAAGG